AAGTCGAAGACTGTATTTGAAAGCAAAGAAGTTGACCATTATAACTTTGCTTTAGTTGAAGCAAAATTCAACTAGTCTAAAGACATCTCAAACTGATTTGGTATAAGCATTACGATAAGATTTAGGGGTTGCTTCAGTTGGTGTTCATAAACTTTTATACTAGGCATGTAAATGATAAATATGACTCAATGAGTTCCAGATATCAAGACAACATTAAGGATCATACTTTTTTCTCCAAAGCTTCAAAGTTCCATGAATAAAGGATACCAACTGAGTTGAAGATGAATCTCATATGATTTATTCACCATCATACCCCTCCCAGATATGGTAATATAGTAGTCGCCCCTTATCTGCAGAGGATACGTTCAAGATCCCCAGTGGATGCCTGAAACCACTGACACTATTGAACCCTACATATACTGTAATTTTTTTCTTACACATACGTACCTCTGATAAAGTTTAACATAAAAATTAGGCACAGTAAGAGATTAACAACAATAGCTAATAATAAAACAGAAAAATTATAACAATATACTTTAATAAAAGTTATGTGAATGTGGTCTTTCTCTCTTTCAAAATATTTTACTGTACTATAATTATCCTTTTGTGATGATGTGAAATGATAAAAAGCCTACATGATGAAGTGAGGTGAATAACATAGGCATTGTGACATAGCGTCAGGCTACTACTGACCTGACAATATGCAAGAAGAACAGTCTGCTTTGAATGATTCTGGATCATTTAGCTATGACGGTGTCAATGGCTGGATGTCAGGAGCAGACGATGCTGATGACTAACAGGTAGATAGCATATACAGTGGAAACACTGGACAAAGGGAGGATTCACATCCCAGGTGGGATAGAGCAGAAGAGTACGTACGAGATTTCAGCATGTTACTCAGAACAGCATGCAATTTAAAATCTGTGAATTCCTTATTAATGGAATTTTCCATTTAATAGTTTTGAACTGTGATTGACCATGAGTAACTGAAACTATAGAAAGCAAAACTGTGGATGGGGGGACTATTTTGTTAGTAGTAATAATAGTATAGAAGTAGTAATAATAATAATGCTTACTTCTTTGACTTAATATAAAGATTAAATGTGGTTATGAATGTAAAGTGTTTAACCCCAGTGTCTGGCACAAAGTAAGTTCTCAATGAGTGGCAGCTTTTATGATTAGCAGTAATTTCCCAATATTTTAAAATGTAGAATTCTGAGGAATCAGAAATTCACTGATCTCTTTGTCTCAATTACACCACAATCAACTATCAGTTAAAGACTAGGAAAACAATTATTCAGACAAACATTTGTAACAAAATGTGGCTCTCTTAACTTCTACAGAACTGTTTTTATTTGTTTACTAACAAAAGATTCTATTATAAAACAACTGAAAACATCTGGGTTTTCATAGTTCCTGTGATTGCAGAGAGATATGATTGCTTAAAAGACACCAAAATCACAGAACAGTAAAAAGCAAAAAACATTCTCTCCTTTTGCCCTCCCCTAATTCCACTCTCTGTTGTTGAAAATTTGGAGGTCCTTCTAACTCTTTTCCTACTGGCACCATAAGAAATGAAGTCCATCTACCTGGCTGTAATAACATATCAAAAGATTCTTTGAATCTCATTGTGATCTACCTTCAAATTTCTTATGTAAAGTTTCTGTTAAAGATTTTACTAGCTCTTACTGTGTAAGAGCTAGCTACAACGATACCTAAATTGATTAATTATTGCTAAAGCTACACAATAGTTCAGTAAAGTTTTATAAAAGAAATTAAGAAACTTTAATTGCCTATAAAAATCT